ATAGGAGGTGTGGTGACACCAATTCTACTTGCATGTGGAGTCCCCCTCATCTCCAAGGGACATGACCCAAGGTTGATGGATATTGAACACCTACATCACATTGATTTCCTGGAGTATGCGATGGTTGGTGACATGTATAGATACCGCTTTGAGCACCCCACAAACAAGAGAGCCAACATCCTTCTCCCCTGCCCTGAGCTTACACGCATCATAGAGGGATATAACATCGACTTTGAGCCTTCAGTTGATGACCTGTACGTCGAGATGGCTCAGACAACGCACGAGGCTGTTCCTGCAGAAGAAGAAGCTGCAGATGATGAGATTGATGAGATGGAAGTAGACTGGGAAGAGCCATATGATACAAGTATGTATCATTTCAGTGAACATGTGGCTCTAGCAAGAGAGAGTAAGAGCTTGAGTGAAGCTCACAAAAACCAGAGCCTATTGCAGAACTGGTGTAAGAAGCAGGACAAGTACATCAACAAACTCATGAAGGGTATGAAGTCTCTGAAGGCCATGGTTAGCTGCTCCTCTTCCAGCACAGCAGTACCACAAGGAGAACCTCCTCAAGACATGCCTTCGAGGAGATATGATGAGCCTGAGCCTAGTGCGCACGAAGTCCCTCCAGTCCCTACAAGGCACTCATCACACGAGCCTCGAGAACACAAGAGGAGAAAGAAGGCTGTACTTGCCCGTTCCAACAGCACAACGCTGCTAATGCGCTCCAGGAGATCATGCGACCGCGGTGCTGGCCGCAGAAGGAGAAGGGAAGTCGAGCACCAACAGGAAGGAGAAGCTGAAACGCATCAAGGAGACTCTTCAAGTGCCTGGCACGAGTCACAGGCAGGGATTGATGATCACCTGCGCTCTTACTTCAACTGAGGTAAGCACTACCATTCACCATTGTCAAATACCATCCTTTGTCTATTTTGTTTCTGTGTTGATTTTGTCCTGAGTACTCTCTTCCAAGTTTGATCACACAGAGGACTGTGTGATTCAAGTTTGGGGGAGGGCTCAGGAAGTGTTTGTTATCTAATGACGTTTGTTCTGTTCTTATTTCAAATTTTTGCATCATATAGCTTGCATTGCATCTAAGGCATAGAAAAAACCAAAAAATTTGAAAAATTTCTGAAAATGATTTCATAAAAAGAGTGTTCATGTAGTTTGCATTGTCATGTAGGATTGTTTAGTATGCAATCACTTAGGACTGTTGCATCATGAAGTTTGCATTGGGGATTATGATGATATTGCCTTGTAGAAATTCTTGTTTAGGATTGAATTTAAAGCCCTTGAGCATAGTTGATTGCTGCTTTGATCATCTGTGAAAAAATGAAAAATCCATGCTTAGACTTCTGTATGATTTGAAAGCAATTTCTACTTGTGTGATGCTTGCATGATCTCTGAAACATCTCTATGAATTTGGACTTAAAACTGATTTAATTCTCTCGCTTATGGTAAATGAATGCATCCTCATGGTTGTCTAAATGACTCATTCGGGTTTTCTTCCCCATTTTGCCAATCTATTGTGAACCCGAATGACCATTCTCATCTTTAGAATGGCTCCCCTACCCTTTACCTTAACCTTTTCTTTGAAACCTATGATTTGATTGTATGTGAGGCCTTTTGTTTGATAATGCAATAGGTTGTGAAACTTTGAGAGTATCGAGAACGACAAGGCTTTAACTCTTGCTTTAGGCTAAACTCCTGAACTTCATTAAGGATAGCTAATAGGTTGGGAATGAAAAGGTATAAGTGGTTAGAACAATATATGGGGTTGGTCAATGGGTTTGAGAGAAAGAAAAGGGAATGAAAAAGAAAGGTTGATCACTAAGTGTTTTAAAAGAGTCCCTAGGGAATGAAAGTCATAAGTAAAAGCTCTAAGTCTCTAACATAAGAGAAGTTGAATAAGTTAGTTCCCCAAACAGAAAAGAAAAGTTTCAAAGTTATACAAGCATTGGGAACAAAGAAAAGTCTAAGAAAAGTTTAAAGAAAGAGCTAAGTGTTTAAAAAGATTCCCTAGGTGGTTAGTAAAAGAAAGATGATCTTATGGGTTGTGTTTAAAAGAAAGACCAAATGGTCTAAGTGGTTTCTGGGAAAAGAGAGAATGATAAGATTGAGCTAAGGGTAGATACTAGTGATTACATCTAAGATGGGTAGAACAGCAAGAGTTGAACTTTGTAGCATAAACTGTTCTTGGTCTTAGATAAATTTCATGACTGTCTTGCATTCCTTGTTTCTGAGAGAAAGCCACCAAAGAATAAAACACTTGAAACCACCCTCAAAAGCCTTTGCCCCTAAACCGATTGAGTTTGATTCATTTACCATCTGTGAGACTGCACCAAACACTAATGAATGTTAAAGAGTTGTTTCAGCTTGATTGTGAGTTTTTGCTAATAGCTAGAAGTTGAACTAGGATCGTGCATTGACATAAGTATGGAGAAGTACGAAAGAGTATATTGTTTGATCCATGCAGCTTTGAATTATTCTCAAGGACTTTAAGTTGAATCTTTCATCTGATGCTTAACTTGGCTTTGAATCCCCACTTTCAAACCTCTCCTCCAGCTTGTTCTTAATTGTTTGCTTGAGGGCAAGCAAAGACTAAGTTTGGGGGAGTTGATATGTCTATATTTTACCTGTTTTAAGCAACCATTTAGCATCACTTTGTCTTCATTTCATCATTGTTTCATACCATTTCTCATTACTTGTCATCACTTTACATGTTTAGGATAGCTTTGCATGCATATTGCACGTTTCTATCGTTTTCAGGTGATTTGGAGCTACAGGATCGAGCACTAGATCGAGTACCAGGTCGAGCAACACGGTCGAGCATCTCTAGAAGGCTTCCCTCAGATCACTCGACCACGACCCCAGATCACAATTCGAGCACGCAATCGAGCATCAGCCACCATGACACTCGGCCTCGTGATCGAGCACCATCTCCAGCAACATCATACTCGACCACATGCTCGACCAACATGGTCGAGTATCCTCCACCAACATACTCGACCTCACACTCGACTGCAAGCTTCAGAGTCTTCTCAAATCCGCACTCAACCAGACATTTGAGCACAAGGAAGGGAAGAGGATGAAGCAATACTCGACCAAGTACTCGACCAAGATGCTCCATTACATCACGACCAGAGCAAGAAACCGCAAAGGCACCAGCTTTACTCGATCACGTCTACTCGATTACATGAAGTCGAATGTCTCTGTAAACCGCCTTAATACTTTGTCGTTTTGTGATTTAGGGTTTCCTAGGATTTACTATAAATAGGTTGTTTCTCATAATTTTTGGGACTAAGCTTTTACACAGCAGACAATTAGTTTTTTCCAGAATTTTGTAATCCAAATTCCTCTTAATCTATTCAGTATTTGCATTTGATTTCTTCTACAAAGTTGTTTATCTTGTTGAGATCTTGCTAATATGAAGTTTTTATGCATTTCTGGGTTCGTGTTCTTGGTTATGAATTTTGAGTAGTGATTAGGGTTCTTGAGGATGGGTTAGAGTGGTTTAGAATCCTTAATCTGCTAGGTGGTTGAGTTTGATTGGTAGATCCCTTCTGGATTAGTTGTTCTTAATGCTGATTGCTTTCTGATCAACTGGAATCTGGGCCCAGACATTTCCGCACCCAAAAGGTGTTCGATGAAATGTCTGAACCACTAATTCCAGAGATTTGTGGCTCTGTACCAAGGTATTGGTTACAGAGAGCGTTTTGACTTTAACTTGTTGATTCGTAATGTCTGTTAGGTTAGCTCTCGTCAATGGTGATTGAGTCTGGGACTAGCTTTGCTTGAGGATCTCTGTTGCGGTAGCACTTTGGTTTGGTTATTGAACTTGTTGTCTAGGGAGAGTTTGTTGAGCATGTTAACCACCTGTTAGATTAAGGAGACTTCACTACTCGATTACCCCATCCTCGGGAATCTCTCTTCCAATTGATTTATTTGTTCACATTGCTATTGATTGCTTGATCTTGTTACCTATTGCTTTGTTTTTGCATTTCTGCTTATTTCACTTGAAGTACTCGACCACACACAGTGGTTTGGAAACGAACTGTGCAGTCGAGTACCCTGTTTACAGTTTCTGTTAAGTTACTCGACCTGATACTCGACCACACCTAGTGCTTGGCATCAAGCTGTGTGATCGAGTATATTGCCTGTTATTGTTAGAATTTCTGTTTTCTGCATGATCACTAGAACTGTTAACAACATCAAACCTGTTATTGCTTGGCTTGACTCTGTGATATTTGATTGCATCTTGATTGCTAGCATCACACCCATTTGGATTGACACCTTAAATACTGCAATGACATGATAGTGTTTAAGGATAATTGATCTTAGCTAAAATCCTACTATCAGATCGACTCAAATTAGGAAAACTTCCGAAAAGCTCCGAAGAATAAGGAAAGTATCCTAATCCGCGATATTCTAGGCCGACTTCAAGATAATTGGAAATCTTCCAAGAATATCGCGGGAGAGGCGGTTTACCATCCCTATATAAAGAGACTCAAGGTTCTCACAGAAGGACAAGCAATATCGCTCTAGATTTTAGACTACACAAAGCTCTCAAGCAAAAACACTTTTACTTTTACGATGAAACTCTTGTACGATCAAAGTTATTCATTCATTAATAATATCAAGAACACCATCTTTGGTTCCAGTCCGTTATGTTGTTCTTTGAGAATTCTCGTTCATTGTATCCCTAAAATAAAACCCTAGACAAATCTCGATTGTGTTAGTTTCGACTTCCACAGTTGATACCCATCACAAAAAGATTCAAAGCTTGGAGTACTATCAACAAGAAATGCGTTCGGAGTTGAAAGGTAATGGTAAAGAGATCCAAAAACTGAAGGAGTTAGTCGCTCATCTAGCGGAGACTTTGTTGTGATTGAGGAATTAATGGGTTTGTGTAAGCTTCTTTTTTTGGAGAGTAAGACTTTTTTCCTGAAATGTGTTAAGACCAATTGCATTCCCAATGATGTTGTAGTTCTCTGTTTTTTGTAACAACTCTGTTTTTTATATTAAGGATTGCTTAACTGAAAACAACAACACAGAGAAAACAAATGTATTCTTACAAATTGGTCCAACACTAACAGTAGAGATATGTTCAAATCATCAAATGTATTAAGCTTTGCAAGACAGCCGATTGTGGCCAACATTTCCACAGTTAGAACAAGCATATGCTTTCCTTGGTACTTTGCGCGGTGATGCAACCTCTAAATGACCTTTAATCCGTGACATCTTAGGCCTCCCAGATTTAACCTTAACAAAAGGTTGATTGACAGACTTCCCGGTTACTGAATCAGGTACAGAACACGCCTCATCCTTTGGCATTACAGATTTTGAATAACCATTGCGTAAGTATTCTGAGCGATAGTAAGGATGGGACTTTGAAATCCTTGATACATGAGTCGACTCAGCTGCGGCTATTACATGTATGCAAGGTAGTTTGTCGAGGTCAAACATACGACATGTACACTTCTTCTGTTATAAATTAACAACATTCATAGACACTCCACTCCTCACTTCATATTGATGGGGATCAATCTCCTGAACACTTAGCTTACTAGCGCGAATCACTCGGGACTGTTAGAGGAAAGATACATTAATTAAAATAGATGGATCAAAAAATAAAGGCTAACAGTTTAAAATAAAGTAAGTTATGTTTATGTAATACCTCTAGTGCTTTTTCAACTCCTTTAGTAAGAACGGTTGTCATAAGCGCAGCCTGTTTTCTCCTTACAGCATACCATCGAGTTAACAACAATCTTATATCGTCTAACAGTTCAACAATGGGATACCTTCTAGCAGGATTTAACACTTTGTTTAATGATTCAGCAATGTTGCTTGTTGTGAAGTTGTATCTATCTCCTGGAAAGTGAACCCTACTCCACGTAGTTACATCTGCCCGCATCAAATAGCTATGCAGGTTTGGATACAAAGCTTTAATAATATCAAAAGTTGCATTGAAATCTACTAACCGATAAGCTGTAGCCGCCTTCTTCACTAATCCAAATGTTTCACTTCCTCTAAATCTAAGCTTAATATTTTTGTGTAGATGGTATGTGCAAATCACTCGGCTAGCTTATGGATATATAGACCCTATAGCTTTTGCAATAGATTTATGCCTATCCGAAATAATGGCTTCTCCATGATCATCTGGAATAACACAGCTTAGTTGTCTGAAGAACCATTCCCAAGATTCATCGTTCTCTGAATCAACAACAGCAAACGCTAAGGGAAATATATTGAAATTTCTATCTTGTATGGTAGCTAGTAACAAGGTCCCTAAATATTTCCCCTTCAAAAATGTACCATTCACAACAATAACTTTCTTCATAAAAGTAAAGCCATCAATGCTAGCACCAAATAAAATGAAAACATACTTGAATCTATCTAACTCATCTACTTCAAGCCTAGTAAGGGTCCCGGGGTTTGCTCTCCTAATCCTGTATAAGTATTCTGGAAGGTCTTTATACCCAGTTTCCTGACTACCTCTAACTAATTCACGTGCATACTTAAGTGTACGATGAGCTTTCCAATATCCAACCTAGTAAGATGAAAGTTTATGTCATATAGTTACCAACGCAGTTTCAACGCCTCAGATACATTATTAGGGAGTACGCCTGGGCCTACACCACCAACGAAATTCTTGTAAAGTACTCCAAGTATATCCTTGGTTGCTTGTGTACAACGGGCGGATCGCTCTGTTACAAAACACGTATGCTGATTCACATAGACTTTGATGTGAAAATTCACAGATGCATCAATCGGTTTAGCTCTAACTCTCCAACGACACCCTTTTACCCAACACTTTACAGAAAAAACTAGAGGCGTAGACCGAGCAGCGACGAAGTCAAATTTTTGTAAGACACTAATTATCTTCATTCGAATCACTAATTAAAATTTTGATTCATATTTTTACCCAACAGCGATATCAACACCTCCACTAAGTAATTGCACATACTCTTTTGCAGTAATCGACATCCTCTTGTCAATTGGAACGATTTTATTCTCTTCTTTTTTTGGCACATCTACCATTTCTTCATCTTCTTCATCTTTAACCTCTGCTTCCTTTGCATTCACTTCTTGTTCAACTTCTAAGTTTTCTTCATCATCTGTTTCCTCATCAGAAAACTTATAAGACTTACCGTAATCTTCATCCCCAGAGCTTGCTACATCACTATCATCGCAACAATCAAACCAATAACTCTCGTCCTCATCCTCGCTTTTTTGTTCCTCTCCATCTCCATAAGCTTCGCCGTCCATAGAAAAAGTATAAATTGGTTGTTTCCCTGCTGCTTTACTCTTGTAATATTGCTCTTCTTTGGACTCTGTTTTCTCAGGTGATACATCCGGGCCAAAAATATGATTTTTAGTTTCATATTCTTCGATTTGGACACAGAGGCGCCCCACGGTTTCGGATTTGCATTGCCGGATAAATCATTCTTACTGGCGCCGGTTACATACAATAACCGGAGGAGTATCTTCTGGAATTACGATGAAGTTCATCGTATGCAATTTATAACAAAGTGATGTAAGTCAAATTAAGACCTAAGACTACTCTCTCAAAAAAGAGATCAATAGGGTTTGAATTAAGCTAGACAAGAAATTTAAATATTAAAAATAAAAGAAAGCAATAAAATTTGGGTTTTAAATCAGATGAGGAAAACGTTAGGCTTAGGGATTTCTCAAGAAATAAATAAATAGTAGATCTAGCAAATTAATTAGGATTATTAACGAACCGTTCTAGAACTCAAATCACTAATTTATAGCCAACCACCTCTCGTATGAATTGACTAACTAAACCTAATATCAGGAAGTTCCACCTCTCGAATGTAAACTCCTAGAATTAGACTAGCATTAATAACAGGTTTGATTTGTTCACAGATATTCCTAGACCACCTCTCGAATGTATTAGTAATTTATGCTCACCTAAGATAGTTCCAGTAATAGATGACCTCTCGAATCTACCTATTATCCTATGATCAAATTCTAGTTAATTACTCTAGAATTAGCATTAAGAACAATCAAAGATGAAGAACTCTAAAGATATTATCCTAACAGGTTATCGATCTACTGATTCATCTAAATCCCTAATGAAAATCCCTAAACCTAACAAGCAAACTACTCAGACATGGAGAATGAAACAAACAACATGATTGAATAGAATTGCATTAAGAAATCAAGAGAAGAAGTAAAAGAGTTTAAGAAATCTTCTCTGGAGGAGCTCTCTCCAATTATCTCCCAAAGGGTTCAAGCTCCAAAAATACAATAGAAAGAATATGAGAGATCTGAGATCTCAGAGATAATGAAATAGAAAAACCCTAAAAACTATTTATAAAGTCTCCAAAAACGTGCAGGGACTAAAGTTGTAAATAGGGAAGTCTTCTGGGTTGATTCTTCGGGCTTTAAAAACTCCAAATCGTCGAGACTTTTGCTGGGCCTTGAGTGGTGTCGAGCGACACCAAAGGGTGTCGGTCGACACTCATGCCTTGGTCTGACACCGAAATCGTTTCTTCAGCTCTAAATCTCCAGTTTAGCTCCAGAATGATTCCTTTTCTCCAAATTTGTCTCGAACGTGTAAAAACCTGAAAAGACTCAAAAAGACTCTAGAAACAATGAAAAGACTCTAAAACTGACATATATATCACGCCTAAAATTGGTAAAATCCGTGATATATCAACTCCCCCAGACTTAGCTTTTGCTTGCCCTCAAGCAAAACACAAAAACCGAACCCGTGGAAGAAGTTTGAAAACACGAAAACTCCCAATTTCTCTAGCCTATTACCTTGATTATTCAAACCAAATCCAAATGCCTAACATATCGCATCAAATCCTAACCACCATGTAATTCTCCGCAAGTATTCTCAACATTCCAAATTCCAAACCAAATTCCACAACTATATCCTATAGCCCTCATCGCATAAATCTCATCAATAAAATCAGTATTCAAGAACCTTCTAGACTCATTCCCGTACTATACCATGACAAATCAACCATTACAACATATTTAGGTACTCTTTCTCTCCCCAGACTTATTCTTTTTCAAACAATTTTTTTTTTTTAACTTCAAAGGTGTAGGCGAATAACGGTATCATCAGAAATTTTCCTAACCTCGCTTCCAACCTTCGTGTGATCATTCCTCTTGAAGTAAAATAATGAGATCTGATATGTCTATAATTTGCATGTTTTACACATCCGTTTATCACCATTTTTAGTCTAGTTTCGTTCATCTTTCATAGCATTCATCATCATTTCGCATAATTTGCATGTTTAAGTGTGTCTAGCATTAGTCTTGCATGCATTTTGCATTCTGGAGTTGTTTCAGGTGTTTCGGAGCTATTGGTGTTCAGAAAAAGAGGGAAAACAGAGCTGAAAGTCACATTTGGACCCTTATACTCGATCACCAGTAGCAGAGAGGGAAGCAGTCAGCTCAGCAGACCATCAGGACCATTATACTCGATCACAGGGCAGTCCAGCCAGACTGTTCTACTCGATCACAGAGGAGGAGAGTAGTCCATCCTGCCAGTTGACTGTTCTACTCGATCGCAGGGTTGAAGAAGCGGTCCGTCCTGACAGTCTACCCACATACTCGATCACAAGAGAGAAGAAGCAGTCCAGACCATGCCACTACCCATTCTACTCGATCACCACCTCGACCCTCTGATCAATCCGCACTCAACCAGACAACCTGAGCAAAGGAAAGAGAAGAGGAGAGAAGGAACCACTTGATCGCGGCTTCGATTCACGCTCGACCATGAAGCCCACTTTGAGCCCATCTACTCGACCACAACGTTCCATGGGCCTGTTAAGCGGACTCGAAGCCCACTTACCTATCTATGTCGTTTTTACTATAAATAAGTCTCTAAGGGTTTTCCCTGAGACACTCGGTTTTTCACTTACGTTTTAGTCTCGAACCCTAGTATTGTTTTAGTAGCCGCTTTTGCTTCTGCAACTTTGTATTTTTCGTTTTTCTAAGTTATTGAGATTCTGCTTTCATCCTCTTGTTGATTTCTGTTTCATTTCCTTGAATCTTTGAAGTTATGCAATCATCAATCGTTTCTGTGTCTTTGAGCATGTTGTCTGAGTAGTAACTAGGATTTCTGAGGATGGGATAGAGTAGTTTGTGAGACCCATGGTCGAATCTGATGGTTAAGTTTAGTTATATTGAATCCCTTCTGGATTAGTTGTGCTTATTGCTTATTCCTTTCTGATCAACTGGAATTCGATCCCAAACATTCCAGCGCTCATGAGGCGTTTAATGGATTGTTGGATCTACTAATTCCAGTGATAATCGTCTCTATCCCAAGGGATTGGCCGTTTAGAGCGGTTATTGGCTTTAACAGTCGGTTCTTATTGCCTGCATAGTTAGATTCCGTTAATGGGAATTAGTCTGGGCTAGCTTTGCTTGAGGATTTGTTGCACGGGAGTGAATAAGTCTGTTGTTGAACCTGTTGTCTAGGGATAGCTTCATTGAGAATTGTTAACCATCGGAATTGATTATGGAGTCCACACTATTCGATTACCCCATCCTTAGGAATTTCTTATCCAATTGATTTATCTGTTTGCTTACCTGCTTCATTCACCTTCTCTGTTACTTGCTATTGAATTTTAATAACTGTCTGTTTTCGGACCCTTTTACTCTATCACATCCTCCTTCTGGCAGTGAGCCTTGTGATAGAGTATAGCAGTCCATTTCTGCAAATTTACTGTTTTCTGCAATCAATCACTAGGACTGTTAGAACAACAACCAATTCCTGCTTGGCTTGACTTAGTGCTTTCTGATCATATCTCATTTGTTTGCATCACACCTGATTGGATTGACACCTAAAATACTACAACGACACGATAGTGTTTTAGGATAATTGATCGTAAAATCTTATTATCAATTTGGCGCCGTTGCCATTTGGGTGTTTGTTTGCTATATTTGAGATCATTAGAAACGTTAAGATCAAGTTCGTTTTTTTTTTTTTTTACAAGGTTACTAACGCTGTGTCTTTCTCTTTGTTTGTGTGTTTCAGGTACTATCTCTGATTACTCTGCTCAAGCTGAGCTGATACCTGTTGCATGCATACTAGATCAAAAGGACATCAGAACCTGCTTTTCAACGAGAACATCGACCGTATTGCTCGTGAGTTAAGAGAACAGACAGGCACAGACGTTATGGCCGACGATCAGAACCCAGATTTGCCAAACAACATTAGTGCAGGCGATGCTCCACGCAATGACAATCATCGCAATGGCATTGTGCCTCCACCAGTGCAGAACAACAACTTCGAGATCAAGAGTGGTCTCATTGCCATGGTTCAGGGCAACAAGTTTCACGGCCTCCCCATGGAGGATCCACTCGATCATCTGGACGAGTTTGATAGGCTCTGTAGCCTAACTATGATCAATGGAGTCAGTGAGGATGGCTTCAAGTTGCGTTTGTTTCCATTTTCTCTTGGAGACAAAGCCCACCAGTGGGAAAAATCACTTCCTCAAGGCTCCATCACCTCCTGGAATGACTGCAAGAAAGCCTTCCTGACTAAATTCTTCTCCAACTCCAGGACAGCAAGACTCCGGAATGAGATTTCTGGCTTCACTCAGAAGAATGCTGAGACTTTTTGTGAAGCATGGGAGCGTTTCAGAGGATATCAGAATCAATGTCCTCACCACGGTTTCTCCAAAGCCTCACTCCTGAGCACTCTCTACAGAGGAGTTCTCCCTAAGATCCGGATGCTCCTAGATACAGCATCCAACGGGAATTTCCTGAACAAAGAAGTTGAAGAAGGATGGGAGCTGGTAGAGAATTTAGCTCAGTCTGATGGAAACTACAATGAAGATTATGACAGAACCATCAGAGGAAGTTCAGACTTAGAGGAGAGGCACCGCAAGGACATGAAGGCCATGAATGACAAGCTAGACAAGCTACTCCTTGTGCAACAGAAGCAAGTCCATTTTCTCTGTGAAGATGAGACGTTCCAAGTCCAGGATGGGAAGACTCTTCAGTCAGAAGAAGTAAGCTATGTGCAGAACCAAGGAGGCTACAACAAGGGCTACAACTACTATAAGCAGAACAATCCCAATCTGTCTTACAGGAGTACCAATGTTGCAAACCCGCAGGATCAAGTCTACCCTCAACAACAGCAGACCCAACCCAAACCATTCGTCCCATACAACCAAGGTCAAGGGTTTGTTCCTAAGCAACAGTTTCAGGGAGGTTATCAGACACAGCATCCACCACCAGGATTTGTACCACAGCAACAACAACCCTCTAGCGCTTCTGACTCAGAACTGAGGCAAAT